GCAGCTGACAGTAACCTCGGGCTAACCTCTACCTAGATGAGACAGTGAGTGTATAATACTTCCCTACTATGAGGAGGCTATCCCCAGACAGCCGTGCAAGAATTCAGATAAAGGTGTGCCTGAAGTTGGGTAGCAATGGAAGAGTCAAGTAAGTATACAAGAGAATGGTAGGACATTCTTAGGCCGTCTTTCCTGTCGGGTGCTGGGACAGCATCAGCATCTGCAAAGCTACTAATCCAGAGAGACAGTGATTAAAGCCACCAAGTGTCCCCTTCTGACTTACTCTATCCAGGATATCAACTGTTGCAAGGTCAAGAAATAATTCTGTGCTACCACAGACTTTCCATGTATGATGCCATCCAAAGAGGAAAACACTCAGGCATGGCATAGTGATGCAAGCCTGCAATGCCAACACCAGGGAGGCTGAGGATCCTGAGTTGGAGGCAGCTTGGGCTACAATAGCAAGAATCTAGCTTTAAAAAGGAGGGGGTGGGGAGGAAAGGACCAGAGAGATGGCTTAGCCATTAAAAAACACTGACTGCACTTCCAGAGGACCTAGATTCAACTCTCAGCTCATAAGCAGCCATAACTCCAGTTCCAGTGGATCCAATGCTCTCTTCTGGCCTTAACGGGAACAGGGCATGCATGTGATTGATAGACATACATGCAAGCAAAATAAAAATAATAAAAAGAATTATTTTTTAAAAGGAAGTAGTATAATATTTCCCCTGCATATGCAAGGCCCTGGGTTTGATGATTCCCAACACAGAGGAAAAGAGGAACTAAAGTCTAAGATTTGATTTTCTTTTTGATTTGTATGTGTGTGTATGTATGCACATACATGTGTGCATGCATGAGGGCACACTCACACACAAGAATGTAGATGCCCACAGAAGACAGTGCCTAGATCATCTGGAGCTGGAGTTGCAGGTGGATCTGAGTTACCTGCTGTGGGAACTCGGAACTGAACTCAGTCAGGATCTCCTCAAGAACAGTACCTACCCTGACCACTGAGCCATCTCTCCAGCCCCCAGACAGTACTTAGGAAGAGTGCTTGGTTATGTACCAGAAAGGACAGATTGATGCTTCAATCCTTAACCCTTTGCTCACAAAAGTCTTAAAATTGGAAATGGAGAAAGAAGAGGACCTTGTAGATCCCTGTATTGGTGCCCTCTGTTATACACATGGGGAAACTAAGGCCCAGAGGGGAAAAGGCTATTTCTCTTGGGACAAGAGCTTCCTTGTTTGTGGAGCAAAAGGATGTTCCTGCCCATACATCCCCTCTGCCATTCCTCCGACCTATTTCCACTCTCTTAAGTTTGTTTATTGGTTTGAGACAGGGTCCAAATAGGACAGGCTTCCATTGAACTCAGCATGTCGCTGGGCTCTCAAGGTTTTAAACTCAGTGATCAAGAACCTGTGACATCCTCAGAGGTGTGGTGATTGCACAACACAGCAATGCCTGTTCTTGGGCATCCATTAAAATATGGAGGAAGAATCCATGGTTAGTATCTGCATCTTAGTTTCAGGAAGTATTCCTGCAGTTGAGTCTGAACCCATTGGTCTTTTCTTGCTAGGTAGTGAGGTTCCTGGCATGAAAGTGTGCCAGGATGCATATAAGGACCCTCAGAAGCCAGGGCAAGGCTGGAGCTAAGTTGTGGGAGGCCAGATCTCCCAAGAACCTAGACCTTCCTTTTCCTTAGGGCTAGGTTTTGCTCCCACCAGGGAGTTTGGCTTGCTTTCTTTTCCATACTAATATCCATCTCATTCATCAGGCTGATGACACCCTGATACTGTTGTCTATCTGAAAGAGAATATTAGAGTGCGCTGGGGACCAGCCCATGGTGGGAGGTGGTCACATCAATGATGATGCACACAAATGGGATTTCAAAGGCCTCTCAGGTATTCCATGTATGGGTGCTTCCAGAGAGGGCATGGGAGCCAGGCATGCTGAAACAAATGCTAATTCCCTCCATACCATCATGCGACTGTAGGCGCCCCCATGTCCACTGTTAACGTCTCCTGGTTCCTCATGTCTTGCAATGACTGCTGTCTGTGGATTTATTCCTCTCCCGCTCTTCACTCTGTGCAAGCTCCAGAAGAGAAGCAAATGCCCAGTGTGTGGCGTTGAGGCATAAGAAGGTGGCTCTGACGTGCCTCTCCATGAGACAAGCTCTTTATTGCCATTCGCTTCTTTTCAGCTTGTTGGGACAGAATTTCCCAGCAGAAGCAATCTGAGGGAAGAAGGGCTTATTTTTATTTGGTGTTTCGGGGGACGACCATTTCATCATGACGGCAAGAGTGGAAAGAGTCTGGGCACCTCTTGCCAGGCAGAAAGCAGAGTGCCAAAGCCAGAAACCAAAACAGATCCTTCCATCCAAAGCCTGATCTCAGGAACCTACGCTGATGACGAGGTTACAGTCTCGGGTCATAACTCCCTAAAACTAGCAAAGGTCCAAACTTGGAAGAGACATGAGTTTGTCAAGGACAGTCCACATACAGATTGTAACAGCATCTGTCCCCATCGTTGGGACCCCACCTCCACTGGGGTCCCCGGCTGCAACACAGGCCATGTTTCCTTCTCATCCATAGAGTCCCTCCTTAGTAGTTGGGGCCACAGCGGGTTTCCAGAGCCTGAAAGGCATCTTGCTGTTTCCAGCTGCCCTCTGCAAGGATTGTAAGAGAGAATGCAGGCCCACTCAATGCCCCAGCCCCCAAGGTGCTGGGTGACCAGCCCTCATCAATTCGCCCCAGACTGAGTGGACTCCTGAGAGACAGGACGTCTTAAGCCAGAGTAAGTTCCAGTCAAATTGGAAAACTTAGTCACTTGACTCCAGATGACCTCCCTCCAGGTTGGATCTCTGAAGGCATTTGGGAGTCAAGATTTCTAGAATGTTCTGCAGATTGGGCAGAGTTATGAGAGGGATTAAGAGTGTTCTTTCCTGTTTCTGTCCTAATTCATGATTTGCATTCTGTACTGTCTGTCGGAAGGGTGTTTCTCGGGCTACGTGATGGTCCCCTGAGCTTCCCCTCAGGGCCTGGCCTCAGACTCCAGGCTCACTGCAGCACCGCACACTGAGGCAGACCACAGCAACTCACTTCGGCCCATTTCTTTTCCCTGCTTTCTTTTCGATAAAGGATCTCCCTGTGTTTGTCCAGCCTGGCCTAAAACTCGTGATCCCCTCTCCCCAAATGCTAGTGTTACTGACAGGGGTAGACCACCACTCCCGGCTCTTCTGGCCACTTCAGAAAGGTGTCCTATGCTTTGCACTAAAGGTTCTTGCATCCTACGGTGCCTGTAAAGAGAAGAGGCCCTGTCTCAAAGCAGGGGCATGATTCCCATCCGAGGTCATATTACCACCACTGCGGGAGTTGTCTCCCTGCGGTTCAGCTTGGAAATTATGGTGGTCAGGACAAATGCAAATTTGGTGGTGATCAAACAGGAAGGGAGGGGCATCTGTGTAGGTTCCAAAGAATCGACTCCATTTCTTTACATTGTATTTTTCTGATATGAAATTCACCTGGAGCAAATCACGTCAGCTGTTGAATTCCACAATCAAGGCACCCCTCCCTTTTCTAAGAATTCTCTTTTTCTCACCCTGGCAATTCCAGCATATTCCTGTCACTCCGTGCATTTTCGGTCTTTCGAAACCAACTTGTAAAGATCTCATCATGTAGCCCTGGCTGACCTGGAACTCAGTGTGTAGAGCAGGCTAGCCTCAAACCCACTCTGCTGCCTCTGCCTCCCCAGGGCTGGAATTACAAGTGTGTGCCACACACCCTGCATCCATGGGACGAAAAAAATATCACCCACCCCACCCCATTCTTTTTCTCCTTTAGCTTAACACTGTTGCTCACGCAGGCCGGTTACACCACAGTGTACCTAAAACCGCCAAGGTATAGAATCACCCGAGAATAGAAAACTTGGATCACGGTGTCCCGTCAGCGCTGATGTTTCCAGAGCTCCGTGTTACCCGTGGAGGCTAGGGCTTCTTCTAGGACTCCTAGCTGGTGGGCTCGCTGTCCACCTACTCAGGAATGCCTGCTGGATTTCCATTCCCAGTACAAGGCCTCCAAAAAGACAGAATCCCTGTAGGATACCCATGGAGCCTGTTCTGAGTAAATATTGACAAAGTAGTCTAAAGAGCAAACACTTTGACATTTGTAAGGTCCACCAGCAGGTCTTGTATAAATTTATACAGCAGGAGTGAGCTCCGCATACCAATTCCTGAACCTGCTCTGATATAATTCCATACAGCGGTGTGTGTTGGGAGGGGTGGTGACTGAGTATGTGGGGAACAGGGCCAGTTTTGGGGTGTAGCCACTCACCGTCTTCTCTCCCAGGAACACTTCAGGTTCCGTCCCTGGCAAGAAACTTAGCCTGGGCTTCTTTTAGACCTACTTTTCTAGGAAGAAGAAAAGGAGAAAAAGCCACAATCCTTGGTTTTGATTTATTATAATAGACGAACTTTCTTTTTACTTGGTAAAAATCTTATTGATGTTTCTGTACTTTATATTTATTAAAGACTGAGCCTCAAAAATTGTAATGAGTAAAAAAATGCTTGCTTAATTTAAATTGTAAGTCTGTCTGTTAGGAAATGCGTTAGAGGTAGGAGAAGCATAAGACATATTAATTGACAGACAGGAACTGCTGTCTCTGAGGTTGATACAAGTAATTTATTACTTTAGAAGTGAATGCCACCTCCAGAATGTGCTTCATTAATTTCAAATTTAGCTTTAATTTCAAGCTGTTGCCCCTTGAGAAGAATAAGGTGGCAAATTATGTTTGAAGAGCAGTTTTTTTTTTGCTCCAAAGAAACATCATATTTTAACTATTTAATTTTACAAATAAATGTGCCCATCTCACTTGCAGCATTCCCAAGAGCCGAGAACGTATTCTAGGTATGTTCAACCCTTACTAATCTTTCTTTCTTTCCTTCTCTCCTCTTCCTCTTTGTTCTCACCTTCTGGTGTCTCCTTCTCGCCTGTGATCACGGCAGCCTATGTTTCTGATGAGTTAAAGGCAGCCGCCTTGGTAGAGGATGACATAGAGGCTGAGGAGCGAGCGGCCGATGGAGAACCCTCAGCCAAGTACATGTGTCCAGAGAAGGAACTCACCAAGGCCTGCCCAAGCTACCAGAACTCACCAGCCGCTGAGTTTTCCAGCCACGAAATGGACAGCGAATCTCACATCAGCGAGACCAGTGACCGGATGGCTGACTTTGAAAGTAGTTCCATCAAGAATGAAGAGGAGACCAAGGAAGTCCCGGTGCCCCTGGAGGACACCACCGTGTCGGATAGTCTGGAGCAGATGAAGGCCGTGTACAACAACTTCCTGTCCAATTCCTACTGGTCCAACCTCAACCTGAACCTGCACCAGCCCTCCTCGGAGAACAATGGTGGCAGTAGTAGCAGCAGCAGCAGCAGCAGCAGTAGCTGCGGCAGCGGGAGTTTTGACTGGCACCAGAGTGCCATGGCGAAGACCCTGCAGCAGGTGTCGCAGAACCGCATGTTGCCTGAGCCCAGCCTTTTCAGCACCGTGCAGCTGTATCGCCAGAGCAGCAAGCTGTATGGCTCCATCTTCACTGGTGCCAGCAAGTTCCGCTGCAAAGACTGTAGCGCAGCCTATGATACCCTGGTGGAGCTGACGGTGCACATGAATGAGACAGGTCACTATCGCGATGACAACCACGAGACCGACAACAACAACCCCAAGCGCTGGTCCAAGCCTCGCAAGCGGTCTCTGTTGGAAATGGAAGGGAAGGAAGATGCTCAGAAGGTGCTGAAGTGCATGTACTGTGGCCACTCCTTTGAGTCCCTCCAAGACCTGAGCGTCCATATGATCAAAACTAAACACTACCAAAAAGTGCCTCTCAAGGAACCTGTCACACCCGTCGCAGCCAAAATCATCCCTGCCGCTCGGAAGAAACCTTCACTGGAGCTGGAGCTGCCTAGCTCCCCCGACTCCACAGGTGGAACCCCCAAAGCTACCCTGTCTGACACCAGTGATGCCCTGCAGAAGAACTCCAATCCTTACATCACGCCAAATAACCGGTACGGCCACCAGAATGGGGCCAGCTATGCATGGCACTTCGAGGCCCGGAAATCTCAGATCCTCAAATGCATGGAATGTGGCAGCTCCCATGACACCCTCCAGGAGCTCACAGCCCACATGATGGTCACTGGCCACTTTATCAAAGTCACAAACTCAGCCATGAAGAAGGGGAAGCCCATCATGGAGACGCCCGTCACACCCACCATCACCACCTTGCTGGATGAGAAGGTCCAGTCTGTGCCGTTGGCAGCTACCACGTTCACGTCTCCCTCCAGCACGCCTGCGAGCGTCTCCCCAAAGCTGACTGTAGAGGTCAAAAAGGAAGTGGACAAGGAGAAAGCCATCATGGATGAAAAACCCAAGGAGAAAGAGAAGAGCAGCGAGGAGGAAGAGAAGTATGACATTTCTTCCAAGTACCACTATTTGACTGAAAATGACTTAGAAGAGAGCCCTAAAGGGGGGCTAGATATCCTTAAATCCCTCGAAAACACAGTAACGTCCGCCATCAACAAGGCTCAGAATGGCACTCCCAGCTGGGGGGGTTACCCCAGCATCCACGCCGCCTACCAGCTCCCCAACATGATGAAGCTGTCCCTGGGCTCCTCAGGGAAGAGCACACCCCTGAAACCCATGTTTGGCAACAGCGAAATCGTGTCTCCTACAAAAACCCAGACCCTGGTCTCTCCACCCAGCAGCCAGACCTCCCCCATGCCCAAGACAAACTTTCATGCCATGGAAGAACTGGTGAAAAAGGTCACTGAGAAAGTTGCCAAAGTTGAGGAGAAAATGAAAGAGCCCGAAGGCAAAATGTCGCCGCCCAAGCGGGCAACGCCGTCTCCCTGCAGTAGTGAACAGAGTGAGCCCATTAAGATGGAGGCCTCCAGTGATGGTGGCTTCAAAAGCCAGGAGAACAGCCCCAGCCCACCAAGAGATGGGTGCAAGGAGGTGAGCCCTGCTGCGGAGCCGGTGGAGAACGGCAAGGAGCTGGTGAAGCCTCTGAGTGGAGGTCTCAGCGGCAGCACGGCCATCATCACGGACCATCCACCAGAACAGCCTTTTGTGAACCCCCTGAGTGCCCTGCAGTCGGTCATGAATATCCACTTGGGGAAGGCTGCCAAGCCCTCTCTGCCTGCGCTGGACCCCATGAGCATGCTTTTCAAGATGAGCAACAGTCTAGCTGAGAAGGCGGCCGTGGCCACCCCACCACCCCTTCAGGCCAAGAAGGCAGACCATCTGGACCGCTATTTCTACCACGTCAACAATGACCAGCCCATAGACTTGACAAAAGGAAAGAGTGACAAAGGTTGCTCTTTAGGTTCAGGGCTTTTGTCCTCCACGTCCACATCCCCAGCCACGTCCTCCTCTACCGTGACAACGGCAAAGACATCTGCCGTCGTATCATTCATGTCCAACTCGCCACTGCGCGAGAATGCCTTGTCAGATATATCCGATATGTTGAAGAACTTGACAGAGAGCCACACGTCAAAATCCTCCACTCCTTCCAGCATCTCTGAGAAGTCTGACATTGACGGGGCCACCCTGGAAGAGGCCGAGGAGTCGACTCCGGCGCAGAAGAGGAAAGGCCGTCAGTCAAACTGGAACCCTCAGCACCTGCTGATCCTGCAGGCCCAGTTTGCAGCCAGTCTACGGCAGACATCCGAAGGGAAGTACATCATGTCAGATCTGAGCCCCCAGGAGCGCATGCACATCTCGAGGTTCACGGGGCTCTCCATGACCACCATCAGCCACTGGCTGGCCAACGTGAAATACCAACTTCGGAGGACAGGTGGAACAAAGTTCCTCAAAAACTTGGACACTGGTCACCCTGTGTTCTTTTGTAACGACTGTGCGTCACAAATCAGGACTCCTTCCACGTACATCAGCCACCTAGAGTCACATCTGGGCTTCCGGCTACGGGACTTATCGAAATTGTCCACCGAACAGATTAACAATCAAATAGCACAAACCAAGTCACCCTCAGAAAAGTTGGTGACGTCCTCCCCGGAGGAAGACCTGGGGACCTCCTATCAGTGCAAGCTTTGCAATCGGACCTTTGCGAGCAAGCATGCCGTTAAACTTCACCTTAGCAAAACTCACGGGAAATCGCCAGAAGACCACCTTCTGTTCGTTTCCGAGCTGGAGAAGCAGTAGCGTTGGCTCCAGGGTGGAAATGACTGGAGGGAAATGCTGAAGGCACCTTAAAGCCCCTCTGTCTTGTTCTTGGCACATATTCTTAATGTTAGCTGCAGAGCATCATTCCGGGCTGGACTGTTTGGTATAACTGTACAGTGTTTAATAGAGAGGTGCATAGAATCAGCTGTTGTTACTGGTAAAATAACGAAGGTTAAAACGCAGTGCTAAGTGTTTGGAACTTTGTGTAAATGGGATTTAATTGTGAGCATCCCCTCGATGCTTCAAGCTGCATGCATTAACAGACAGTTTAATTAAGCATTTCTAATGAAACCAGGCACACTTTTTCCATGAAATTTGGGTGTGCTGGCATTTCTCACCCTTTCATCTTTAGCCCTCTGAGTACTACGAAGCACTTTTGCATTAATTTGGTTAAAAAAAAAGATAATAATAACACAAAATAATAACAAATAATAATAATGTATGAAAACTGTTTTTAAACTCCTTACCAGCTTAGTTATAAGGAATAATAGGAACCTCCATTTATGCAGGTCTGCAGGGGTATAACACGCCTTGAAATTTAAAAGAATATTATTTTCACATTGAAACATAGATGTATATATTGTATAGATTTCAAACTCTTATGGAAAAAAATGTGACCGGTTAAATGACCCTTTCTTTCTTGCATTTATAACAAGTGTTTTATGTACCAGCTATACTCTGGGCACAAGCCACGCCTCTGTATAGTGTATATTTCCTTATCTTTTTTTCTTTTTTTAAGGTTTATGTTGTTGTTGTTTTTTTTACATGCAAACGTTGTAAATTATACAGAAAAATTCCACAGATAGCATTTATAAAATATGCAGAAGCATTATCTCAAAGCAAGGTATGATGTTTGTTTTGCTATACGGCACATCTATATTGATAGAGGGTTCATGTTTAAATTATACATATTTATTAGCATTCTATTATCATTTGTTTGGAGGCCAGGAAATCCATCCCTGGCAGACATCATAACTATTTTGCACATGGTTCTTTAAAGGTATTTATTAGAAATTAAAGGATGCTCAAAATAAACTCAGTGCTCAAAGGGTTAAGTCTATAGGAAAAGGAAAAAAAAAAACAATTTAAAAAAAAAACCAACAACTTGTACTGTATTTCCTGAACAGTGATAAAGCCTTTAAAATGTTTGTACTGTAATCCTTTGCTTAAAAGTCATGAGGTGTTCTGTGGGACAGCCTCCCCCACTTATTCATAAGCCCTCTTGGTTGCTAGTTCATAAGGTGGGATTCTTTCTTTCTTTCTTTCTTTCTTTCTTTCTTTCTTTCTTTTTGTTTCTTTCTTTCCTTCTCTTTCTTTTTTCTTCCTTCATTTTTCTTTCCTTTCCTTTTTTCTTTTTTAATTTCTATCGGTAACTTTGCTTTGTTCTTCCTAATTATTCTCCCAAGACCCCACACTGCAGTTTTATCTTCAGGCTTATGAAAGGTAACCCGTGGTTACCAACTCTCCAAGCCATCCTGTTCCTCTCCATTTCTGGCGGTTAATTTGCAGACATAACTGACAGCTGACACCATATGAGAACCTATGTATAAAATATTGGCATGTGAGCACCACAGACACCGTGACGCACTCTGTGCCCTGTTTTGTTGTCGACAATGGCACACCATGATGTGACTCTTCATATAACCCTTCTTTTCTACGGCAGCATTAAAATTGTCTTTTTGCTATAATTTTGTGTTGCGTTCACAATTATGTCTGAGATGTGCTACGACTAACGAGCACATTAAAATTAAATTGTATGCGATCTGTTTATGACTGACTCGGTTGCTGTGTCTGCCAGGTGCTGGCAGTTGGAGGCTGCGCGTAAATCAGGGGAGTTTTAGTGAACTTTGGTGTGTATAAAGAAATCGAGACAGCTTATGTCGCATTTCCCCGAGGAATAAAGATTGGAAGGAAAGGAGAGATGCAGGTGAGGCTAGAACCCCCCGTGGGCAAGGGGTGTCGTAATAAAATCTCCAGGGTCAAAGCTTCATTCGGGTCACACTGGATAACTCTCCTGGGTGGGTCTGGTCTCCCTTCTGGGTGCCCCCATAGTGTTCCCAGGCTGAGAGAAAGGTCCCTAAGAGATTCTGCACATGGTGGTTTATTCTTGGTAACTTAAGCTTTTAAAAGAGCAGGAAGCAGAGAGGAGCCAGGCATTCAGACTTTGGGATCACCTGTTCTTCCCAAGTTTAAAGCAGCCAGAGGTAATCCAGTGGGGGAGGGGCCGGGAGAGACTGAACCCATCCATGGCAAGGGTAGGAAGCATTTATATGATAATCACAAGCTTTTATTGGGTTTGGCAAATCACTCCAACAAAAAGCTGAGAACATCATGTAAAACTGTAAAATACCTTTATTACTATATTCAAACTAGTCTTGCAGTTAGGCAGAATCGGAGCTCCTAACCTAGAATTATACAAATGAGAAATGTGATACATCCATGTAATACATAAAACACCTCAACTTGAAGGGAGAAAAAAAAAGATACTCTTTTATTAAAAATTTAAATTAAGCCCTTTCAAAAATGTTCGGCAACACGCCCACGGGTTTTCCCCCGCTGCTCTCCACCCCTTTCCGTCAAGACGAGTCCAAATGTGCTGTCTACTCTATTTTCTCTCGGTAACCCCTCTCTCTCTCTCTCTCTCTCTCTCTCTCTCTCTCTCTCTCTCTCTGTCTCTCGGGTTTCAGAAAGAACTCCACTCCAACCTTGTAACTTGGACACACAGGTAGGGCAGAGCCTCAGAAGAGTCTTTTGCCTCTGGGTCCTGAGTCTGGCCCACTGTTTGCCTCCAGCATGGCTAGCCCATTTCTCTCTTTAGGTTCTACCTAGAGGCATGAATGTTCCACCAGGGTACCTGCTACTACCCTAGAACCTGGCTCGGGGGGGCAGAGCCCCCCCCCCCCCCCCCCCCCCCCCCCCGCCTCGCTGTGCCTTCTGCATCCTTGCATCCTGAAGCCCAGATTTCCACTCTTGAATTTTTCGCAGGTTAAATATAGCATTGGTTTATTAGAATCCAAAGTCCTGCATCTAACAGATTAAACTGACAACACTCTCGTCATCACCAGGGCCCATGTGGCTTGAAGGGAGAGGGGATTTGTGTGAGTGATGGTGGAGCCCCCCTCTTCACAGTTGAGAAGGGCCCAACGCTCTGCGCATCTCCTCCTCACTCTCCCCCGGGATTATTATCAGGACTGTTCAATTTTTTGGGGGGGGGGGCGGGGGAGACGAGGAGATTGATAGCCAAGGTAGATAGTGAGTTACACACTTAGTTGACACCTCGGACTCCAAGCTTTGAAAAGCCTGCTGGTACTATTGGAAACTCAAAATTAATTCGAACTCCAAGGGTGTATTAGTAAGGGGAGATACTGAATGCAAGCTCTTTGAAAAAAAGAGCATCTTCTTAGCATTGGGAGGTAAGCCACTTTCACCCAAATTACCAAACCCCGGCCTGGCGATGGCATACGCAGCATGCAAGAAGACCTTTACATGGTAGCTCGGTTATGGCCCCAAATCGAAGAAGACCATCCAAAGTGAATTCCCAGGCTCTTTGTTGACTGCACAGTCTATGACTGATGTGAACAGAAAAAGTAAATGGAGGAATGGGTGTCCAAGAAGGGCTACAAGTGGACCCGGCAGAGGGTAGATTTGCAGAAGGAGGGGGCCTTTAATCACAGGTGCGGAGGTGACCCTGACCTCACCCGCCCAAGCTCAGTCTCACTATAGAACTATGGTATATCTTCCAGCCATCACATTTACGCAGTATCTTAAAATAACATTTGTGATAAATGTGCAATTTAACTAATTTATGGTGCTATGATGTGCTCAGGGCTACATGCAAGATGAAAATCTTAAATGGAGCTTGAACAGCTCAATTCACAACAAGAAATCAATATGCCACATCTTAGCTATTCGCTGCAGTCAACATGTAGCAAAAATATCAAGGATGTATCTTTTAAATTTTAGGCAGCAAGAATTCTATAATTAAACAAAACCTTACATGAAACTTCGAGAAGGTTGATGATGGGGACCCAGCCTCCGTGGGACCTCCATTCAGTTTTCATTCCGCAAAAGGGAATATATTTATTTCTATTGATTGCCACAGGAAGGCACTTCTCCCCCCGGGGTGCCCTGCATTCAAAAGGCCAGCCTGGGAGAGCTCAGGCCAGAGCCTTTGCACCCTAGGGAGGATTCCCTCTCCAGCCAGATCACTGTAGGCTGGTAGGCTCACAGCCCCTTAGACCTTCAGTTCTACAACATGGTGACAATTTGCATAGAATTTAAGAAGGCCTGTTTGCTGCCCAGGTCCACCTTGAGGGAACAGATTTGTGAAGACGGAAGGCACAAGGCACGGGGGCAGATGAAAACAAGGCTGCATTGACTAGATCGAGTGTTCCAGAAATTCCAAGTTACCTAATAAAAAACATTAAATGATTTTATTTTATTTTTTTTTTCAAATTCATCTGCATGGTCCAGAAATAGGAACACTGTAATGGTGCTTCATTCTGTTGACAATTTAGTGCATAAACGACACTCCGTTATAGGAAGCGATCATAAAAATGGAAACAGTGAACCCCAACCCCACTCTTCAATAATAAATACTCTAACTTTAAAAATAATAGCCATTATCCTTCCAGCTAATGGAGAAATTACCATTTTCACTCCACCAGAGAGTTATTCTGCTGGTAATAGAAGCGCTAACCTCCTTTCTCCTTAGGGATTTATTAGTAAGCACGTGTAATCTTGGGCAAAGGCAACCTGGAAATGCACACTTCTTTGGAGCTCATGTTTCACTGGATCCCTCTATGCCTTCAGCAGATTCGAGAAATACCATAAGGACACTCAGAACCTCACATAGTCCCTAACTTTGCAAGGTATTGATGGCTTTCTGCGAAACAGGGCATGGTTAGTTCTCATTCATCTGGGGCCAGGAAGCAGCTGCTCCAGCGCTCTGGAAAATGCTAACCCCCATATATGCTGTAGCCCTGCTGTGTCAGGACAGAGTGGTCACCAAACACTGGTTTTGTTTGCAGGGTTTTTTTTTTTCTCCCTAGCACTATGTCTAGTCCCACAAGCCCACAGGAGAATCTGCTTGGCTTCCCCAATTCCATTTTTTTTTCTGTCCCTATAAATTTAACAGGATGTGCGCGCACACATGCACACACACACACACACACACACACACACACACACACACACACACATGACTCAAGGGCAAGAAAACCCTGTAATAGACAGGTTCCGAGTTACAAAGGCATCCATCCCAGAGTGCTCTTGGTTTGGAGACCATGTTTTCTACTTTGCCAAGACAATGCATGTGCCAAGTTGTTGGTTAGTTGCCTGACAGTTTGTGATGGTTGAGCCAGTTCCAGACAGCCCAAGGCTGACTCAGCCCAGTGACAGCTCTGGATCTCAGAAGAGGCTTCAGTGAAAGCTGCTTCCAGAGGCGAGGAATTTGGGGAATCTTATGCCCTACCTCTACTCCAAGAAGCCAGGTGCTGTTAAAGTAAAATCAGTCTAACAATAGATCAGAGGAACTGCCTCTTTGTATAATGTCGTGAACTAATATATTAATAAATCACTCATGGTGGCCAACAAGGTGACCCTTCTACAATTTAAGATCCACAGTTATCTCCCTGAACCTAGGTTCCTCTGCTATTTGCCATCCAAACTTCATTGCCACCAGGTAGCAGACAATAGCCACGCGGTAAGTATTCAAATATAAATGAAGTACAGTTAAACAACTGGGTTCTCATATTGTACTAGCCAAAATGTATCCGGTGCTGAGCAGTCACATGTGGCCAGCAGCGACTCCTTTGACTATCACAGATCTAGGATGATGGGAAGGTGTCAGGTGCCATCTGCCGTTTTTGACAAGGTGACTTCTTAAGCCAGACCTTTCGCCTCTTGATGATGAACGTGTGTTTCCAGTCTGTGAGTGTTTCTAGGAATCTTTCTTCTGCCAATATGGGTGCATGCCACATTCTCACATGCTAATATTGCTGGTCGAAGCCCAAGGACACACACAATTAACCTTGAGCAGAAAATTATAAACAGAAGCACCAGGCGTTGGTGTCTGCATTTGCTGCCCATCCCCCCGACGAGAATATCAGCTAGCCTAAAGGACCTGCCTTCCCTTACTTAGCTGGTGATGGATCAAGCCACATCTGAGCTGGAGACTCGGGCATGGGAAGCTCCACTCTGCAGATATCCCCAGCCTCTGATCCCCTTCCTTTGCATCCCTGGGCAGATGTGAGAAGGCTATTCTGTTCCCTTTCAAAATCAAAATAAGACTGGGCTGGAGCTCAATGGCAGAGACTTGGCCTAGCAAGCACGAAGTCCTGGGTTCCAACCCCAGTACCAACACACAATTTTTTTAAAAAAGGGGGGGCACTTTTTTAATTTGGGCGCTATGTTTTTAAAAATTACGGTGTTTCAACACTTTGCTTCCATTTTTTCCCCCACAGCAGGATTCCCGGGACACATTTATGACCATCATAATTGTGAATTAGAGATCTCCCAGGCCAACTGAAATGAAATTATGAGACGCTGAAATCTGGTTTAATTGGACCATTTATGGAGAAAAAAGGAATCCTAATGGCCATGTCCTGTATTTGTGACTGTTCGATTCACGTCTATACCTGGGCCCACAGCTGGGGCCAGAGAAGCTTGGGTCAAGAAAGCCAAGCACAGAGAGAGAATGAAATAGGTGTGTCAGGAAGGAGCCGTTTCTTAGCTTTAAAAAAAATGGAGGTACAGTCGCTGGAGTTCCGCCTCAGTGACCATGAAACCGAGTCGGCAGAAGCTGAAGGACCCAACTCCTGAAAGCCTCATCAGGGCTTGTCATCGCTCTAATGAATATCATTTAAATTGCTTTGTATATTGGTGGAGTTTGGATGTCGATTTAATTTGTGCATGTGTTTGAATTCTTCTGCTTGGCTAGGCTAACTGAGAAGCAGGCGTCTAATGAAAACTGAGCCGGTGACAGTGTGATGCGCTCCAACCC